CCGAAATGGGTGTGGGTGACGCATGCGGGCGCGGGCACTGGGGCCTTCGGTGGAGCTCTCTATGGGGCCACGAAACGGTGTACTGGGTGGGTGAAGAGGAGAGGAGGAGAGGAGAGGAGGAGAGGAGAGGAGAGGAGAGAAGAGGAGAGGAGAGGAGAGGAGAGGAATGATGATGATAATGATGATGATGACGACGATGATGATGATGATGATGATGATGATGATGATGATGATGATGATGATGATGATGATGATGGTGACGATGATGATGATGGCAGGAGGGAGGGGGCAGCGGGAGGAGGAGTGAACGCGGGGCGCTGTCTCTTCAAAACGAGGACCCAACACCACAGGATGGTTGGGAATAAAACATTAAATCCTTGGTACTAGGCGCGCCCCACTTGCTGTGCGACACCATCTGCTAGGCAAGAGCCCTCCCCAATTTGATTTTAAAAAGAATCCTTGGTGCTAGATGTGCCCCTTTGCTGTGCGGCACCCTCTCTAAGGTGAGCCCCTTTGCTGTGCGGCACCTTCTGCTAGGCACGACCCCTCCCCAAGTTATTTAAAACATAATCCTTGGTGCTAGACGTGCCCCAGTTGCTGTGTGACACCCTTGGTTAGGCAATGGCCCTCCCCAATTCGATTAAACGAATCCTTGGTGCTAGACGTGCCCCATCTGTTGTGCGGCACCTTCTGCTGGGCAAGACCCCTTCCCCAAGTTGATTTAAACTGAGTCCTTGGTGCTAGATGTGCCCCTTTGCTGTGCGGCACCCCCTGATAGGCAAGAGCTTTGCCCAATTTGATATAACAAACATTGAATCCTTGGTGCTAGGCGCGCTCCACCTGCTGTGCGGCACCTTCTGCTAGGCAAGCGCCCTCCCCAAGTTGATGAAAACACATGTCCTTGTTGCTAGACGTGCCCCATGTGTGCGGGGCCCTCTGCTAGGCAAGACCCCTCCCCGAGTTGATTAAAAGAGGATCCTTGGTTCTAGGGGTGCCCCACCTGCTGTGTGGAACCTTTTGCTAGGCAAGACCCTTCCCTAAGTTGATGAAGCAAAGAATCCTTGGGGCTAGATGCGCCCCTTTGCTGTGCGGCACCCTCTGACAGGCAAGAGCCTTCCCCAAGTCGATTAAATAGAATCCTTGGTGCTAGGCGTGCCCCACCTGCTGTGCGGCACCTTCTGCTAGGCAAGACCCCTCTGCAAGTTAAATATAACATAATCCCGGGTGCCAGACGTGCCCCATCTGTTGTGCGGCACCTTCTGCTAGGCAAGACCCCTCCCCAAGTTGATTAAGCAAGGGTCCTTGGTGCTAGATGTGCCCCTTTGCTGTGCGGCACCCTCTGATAGGCAAGAGCCTTGCTCAAGTTGATTAAACAAGGATCCTTGGTGCTAGGCGCGCCCCACCTGCTGTGCGGCACCTTCTGCTAGGCAAGACCCCTCCCCAAGTTGATGAAACAAGGATCCTTGGTGCTAGACGTGCCCCATCTGCTGTGCGGCACCCTATGCTAGGCAAGACCCCTCGCCAAGTTGATTTAAACTTGATCCTTGGTGCTAGACATGCCCCTTTGCTGCGAGGCACCCTCTGATAGGCAAGAGCCCTCCCCAAGTTGATTAAACACATAATCCTTGGTGCTAGGCGTGCCCCATCTGTTGTGCGGCACCTTCTGCTAGGCAAGACCCCTCCCCAAGTTGATTAAAAAAGAGTCCTAAGAGGCCCCAAAACGGACCCCCAGGAGGCTTCAAAACAGCTTCCAAGAGCCCGACGAGAAACCTCCCAAGAGACCCCCAAACGAACATCCAGGAGGTCTTGGACCCCCAACCCAGCCCAATCGGGTGGCGGCGGCCGGCGGCGGTGGGGGCGACGACGACGACGCCGCGCTCGCGTCCGCGCCCGCGCGCCCGACGCAGCCAGCCTAGCTGTGCTACCCGGAGGATGAGGCCGAGGCGAAATAGAAGCGTCCAGGCGAATAGAGGCGTCACGAGCTTCACCGGTCGTCAGGGGAATAGAGGCTTCAGGCCGAATAGAGGCTTCACGAGCTTCAGCGGGCGTCAGGGGAATAGAGGCTTCAGGCCGAATAGAGGCTTCACGAGCTTCACGGGGCGTCAGGGAAATAGAGGCTTCAGGCCGAATAGAGGCTTCACGAGCTTCACGGGGCGTCAGGGAAATAGAGGCTTCAGGCCGAATAGAGGCTTCACGAGCTTCACCTGGCGTCAGGGGAATAGAAGCGTCATGCCGAATAGAGGCGTTACGGGCTTTACCGGGCGTCAGGGGAATAGAGGCTTCAGGCCGAATAGAGGCTTCGCGAGCTTCACCGGGCGTCCGGGGAATAGAGGCTTCAGGCCGAATAGAGGCGTCACGAGCTTCACGGGGCGTCAGGGAAATAGAGGCTTCAGGCCGAATAGAGGCTTCACGAGCTTTACCGGGCGTCAGGGGAATAGAGGCTTCAGGCCGAATAGAGGCTTCACGAGCTTCACGGGGCGTCAGGGAAATAGAGGCTTCAGGCCGAATAGAGGCTTCACGAGCTTCACCTGGCGTCAGGGGAATAGAAGCGTCATGCCGAATAGAGGCGTTACGGGCTTCACCGGGCGTCAGGGGAATAGAGGCTTCAGGCCGAATAGAGGCTTCACGAGCTTCACCGGGCGTCAGGGGAATAGAGGCTTCAGGCCGAATAGAGGCTTCACGAGCTTCAATGGGCGTCAGGGAAATAGAGGTTTCAGGCCGAATAGAGGCTTCACGAGCTGCAATGGGCGTCAGGGGAATAGAGGCTTCAGGCCGAATAGAGGCATCTAGGGTCGCGACCCCACCAGTGCGTCGAAATTCGTAGGCCGACTAGAGGCGTCACGGGGCGAATACAAGCCTCAGGCCGAATACAGGCTTCAGGCCGAATAGGGGCTTCACGAGCTTCAATAGGCGTCAGCGGAATGTAGGCTTCAGGCCGAATGGAAGCGTCACGAGCTTCACCAGGCGTCAGCGGAATAGAGGCGTCACCGCAGCTCTTTGGGCATATAGAGTCTTCAAGTAGCTTCTTCGGCGCCGGCTCGAACGGTGACCCCTCGAGCCAGGCACCTGTATACATATATATATATATATAAATGCACACGCACATGTGTATATGCTTATGGGCATGTCTATGTACATGTACATGATCATGCATATGTACGTGTATATATATATATATATTAGCACAGACAGTCGTACATTTACATGCACATGTATATGTATATAAATTTGTATATGCATATGCGTATGTATATGTATAGGTATGTGTATATGCATGTGTTGATATATATATAGGGGTTTGTAGATGTATGTGTATATACATATGTATATGTATATGTACATATCTAGGTCTATGCGTGTATATATATATGTATTTGTCTGTGCATATGTTTATGTCTATGTTTATGCATATGTGTATGCATCTGTATATGTTTATATATGTTTTCATAGATATAGCAGTATATGTACATGTGTATGTATATGTATATGTATATGCACACGTATATGTATATGTATGTGTATACGTATATGTATGTGTATACATAATGTATATGCACAGGTCGGCATACATGTATATGCATATGTATATGTGTATGTATGTGGATATGTAACTGTATACGTATACGTCTATGCATCTGTATGTCTGTTTGTCAGTCCGTATGTGTGTATGTATGTATGTGTGTATGTGTGTATGTGTGTGTATGTATGTATGTCTGTATGTATGTATGTATGCATGTATGTATGTATGTATGTATGTATGTATGTATGTATGTATGTATGTATGTATGTATGTATGTGTGTGAGTAAATATGTATGTATGTATGTATGTATGTATGCATGTATGTACGTACGTACGTATGCATGTATGTATACTTGTGTATACACATTCGGAGCCCCTGGGGAGCACACGTATCCATTTCCACCGCCCGCTGGGGTCCCAGGACGTCGGTTCTCCAGGCGGTGGATATGGATATGTTTCCGCCTCGCAGAACGAGAGCGTGCGAGACAGGATACATGGGCGCGGGTGTCAGTAGATGCCCATCGTTTTCGGCATGTATGGGTTGTCGTTTTGGGGATCGCGTGAGTTCTAACCAGGCCTTGGGCCCACGCAGGGCCCAGAACCCTCGCGTCCCCCGCTCTGACCCCTCCAAGCGCGGCTGAGGTCGAGCGGCTATACTTGTGCGTGCACGCTGCACGCAGCGGCACAAGGCAAACAGTGATTATGAGGAGGTCGAGGAAGACGATGATGAATAGGAGGAGGAGGTGGAGGAGGGGGAGGAGGAGGTCGAGTGGGAGGAGGAGCAGGTCGAGGAGGAGGAGGGGCATGAGTTCAGCTGGGGGAGGAAGAGGAGGGGAAGGTGTACAGCTGGAGGAGGAGGAGGAGGAGGAGGAGGAGGAGGAGGAGGAGGAGGAGGAGGAGGAGGAGGAGGAGACTCGGCGGTACGCTCGCATCTCCACAGCTGCCACCGCAGAGAGCGGCGTGAGGAGGCCCGGCGGTGCAGTGCAGGCAGTGCCGGCAGCGAGAGGCACGAGGGGGTGGCAGGAGGGCGTCCAGACGACGGAATTGTGCCAGAGCGTGCTGTAAGGGTGGGGGAGGGGGAGGGGGAGGGGGAGGAGGGGGGGAGGAGGAGGAGGAGGAGGAGGAGGAGGAGGAGGAGGAGGAGGAGGAGGAGGAGGAGGAGGAGGAGGAGGAGCCGCTGGGGCATTTGGGAGGTTTTTGGGGCACCGGGATTAACTATTCGACTCCCCTCCCGTCTTTGGCCGACCCAGACTGGCCGGCTGGTCGACTGGCCGACTGGCAGACCGGCCGACTGGCCGACTCCCCGACTGACCGACTGGCCGACTGGCCGACTGGCCGACTGCAGAGTCGGAAAGTTCTGTTTGGTGGCTCAGAACTTTTCCCTCTCCGCTAGGGGGGTCCAGCCGCGATCCATGAAATCCGCGCGGAGCTTCGAAAGTTTCTGTTTAGGCAGTTCTTCGGTTTCCCTGGTGCGGGGAAGGTGCAGACGCTCTCCTGATGAACGCCTACCACAAGGCTGCCCGCTCAGATCCTTCCTCTGGGCGCGCTGCCCTTCTTTTGCCCGAGAGGCCGCCCTTGTCGCAGGCTGGGCTCGTCCTGCACGCGTGTCGACGTTGCTTCTCCTCCTCCTCAGCCTGTCTGCAGCTGGACAGGCTGTACAAGTTTGTGGAGCCAGCGTGTGTTGGCAGGCCGACCCATCTGAATCGGGGGTACCCTTCTTTCCACCAAGTCTCCCCCCACGTTTTTCTCTCTGATTATGAAGGTCTTAGGGCCAGTGCCGCCGACTGAAGGCGACGACGAGGACGACGAGGAGGAGGACGGGGTGGAGAAGCAGGAGGAGGAGGAGGCGGATGACGTGGTGGAGCAGCAGGAGGAGGAGGCATTCTTCTTTCTTCCAAGTCCATTCTCCTCCGCCTCCTCCTCCTGCTCCTCCTGGAAGGAGAAGGAGGACGGGGAGGAGGAGCAGCAGGAGGAGGAGGAGGCACCCTTCTTTCTTCCAAGTCTCCCTCCACGTTTCCTCTCTGATTTTGCCCAGTTGCCCCTTAGTGGGGAGCCTTCAGCCCTCTCGGGTGTGTCCTCTCGTATGCGCTTTGGCTGTCATCATCTTCCTCCTCCACTCGTGATTCGGGCGCATCGCAGTAGGTTTGACACCTCAGAGTCCGCCTCACCTCGCCTTCTCCTCCCCCCCTCCTCTGCTCTCCCTCGTCCTTCCTCCCCCCTTATCATTCGTTGTTCCCCGGAGCAGAAATTTACAACACTCCAGCCTTCATCTCTTCCTCTTACTTCCCATGAATGCCCTCTCCTCATCATCACGATCGTCGCCAACACCATCACCATCTCTGCTCATATAACCTATACATGTAGATAGGTGTATATATAGCTATGTGCATGTAGCTATGTATATGTGCGTGGGCATTGCCATTCTGATTCTTCGTGCTATACATACATATAGATATGCATATACGTATGCCGTCTGATGCTACTAATGATGTACACGTGCCAGTTTTGGGTCTACTATGTATGTTGTTTCTTATGTTCGGGCGTTTGAGCGTATTCCCAATCATAATCGCTTTTGCACGTCTCCAGGGTTGTGTTTTAAGAATGACTTCGAGGGGAACCCAGTCGTGGAGACGTGAAGTTTACGGAGTTCCAAACATTACGAACGACATGACCTCGATCTTCCTTCGAGGATTGAAATTCGAAGGTCGAGTTTTTTGTTATTCGTTTGGTATTTTTTTGATAGTCGGATTTCGTCTGGCCTCTGAAGACCTCTGGGGACCTCCTCATCTTCTACCTTCTCGTCCCTCTCCTCCTCCCTCTCCTCCCTCCTCCCTCCTCCTCCTCCTCCTCCTCCTCCTCCTCCTCCCCTTCCCCCTCCCGTTTCTTCCCCGTCTGCTCCTCTTTGCCCCTCTCCTCTTCTTCTCTCTCTCCTCCTCCTCTTTCCTGGCCCCTCTCTCTCCTTCTCTTTGCTCCCGCTCTCCGTTCCCGGCCTGGGAGTCGTCGCTCGACGCGCGGGTTCGGGGGCTCTCGGGCCGAGCAAACGCGGCCCGCGAGAGCTGCATCGACGTGGCCAGGGACGACGAGATCAAGGAGGTGCCTCGCGCGCCAGATGCTGGCCGGAGGGAGGGGACGGCTTCAAGTTCTTTGAACACGCGCTCTCTTCTTAAAGTTTTAGGTTGCACCCCCCATGCCTAGGCTGGACTTCGCGGCACCCCTCCGCGCATTCGCTTCTCATCTGTATTTCTCACGTCTGTTGTTTAGTCTTAAGGCGCAGAATATTATTTCAGCCAGTCCCGATAACGTCCCCCTCGCCTTGAAGAATCGTGCTAGGCTGAGCACCCGTCCTGATACAAAACGTTCAATTACAATAACCCCTTTTCAAACAATTTAATGCGGCCAATGCTCGCGCATGTCGAAATCTTCCAGCAAGCATGGCGCGCCCACCAACTCTGTCGAATCACGTACAATGCAGGCCACACGCGTGCGTCTCCGCGCGCGCATGTCGAAATCATCGCAGGACAATCGCTGTCTAATCATATCAATATGGAGGAGCTCACAAGCACATGGAGCACGCATATTGCTCAATAAGACCCATGTCAGAGCTTCTGCGCGCGCGCGCACTTCCTCATCATCCTCATCAGCACCATCGCTGTCATCATCGCCAGCGTCATCACTGTCATCGCCATCATCATCACCATCATCTTCAACTTAATTACCATCACCAACATAGTCGTTATCATTACCGTCGCCATCATCGCCGTCATCGTGATCGTCCTCGCTCATTACCGTTACCACCATTGCCCTCACCATCATCATCATCATCATCATCATCATCATCATCATCATCATCATCATCATCATCATCATCATCATCATTTTCGTCGCCGATGCCGTCGTCGCCATCGTCTCCCGCCCGCCCGAATCGTGGGTCTGCACAAGCCGAATGTGCGCGTCACTTCGCCGCTTTAGACGCGCGAGCA